AAAAACAATGCCAACTTTCAACTGTGAACTGGGCTCTTTATTTGTATTCAGGTACCTTGATTGTGACCTTCATTTGTTTGATCTTGATGAGCTTGAATGTAAGTTTGATGTGGTGTATATTGACCCTCCCCTGGAGGAGTATCAGCGCCGTGCATCTGGTACTACTTTTAACTGGAAACCATGGACATGGGATGAGGTTTGTCAATAATTATTTTTTGCCACTGCAGTGTTTCTAGCCCAAAGGAAAAATAAACCCAGGAGGCACATTAATATTTGACGTTTTTATATGTTACAGGTCAAAATTAAATTCAGGTTAAATTTTTTAACCTTGGTTGATTTTTTATTTCTTTTGTCTTCTAGCCCTAATTATTTATGAATTAGGGCTAAGAGACAAAGAAAGTTGAGAATCAACCTAGGTTAAAATACTTCACCTAACCTGAATTTAATTTTGACCTGTAACATATAATATTGTTTACTCATGGAATTGACGAAAAATAGAGAAAGAAAAAATATATTGGGCAGGGTTCGGACAGAGTCTTGAATTCTTGAAAAAGTCTTGACATTTGCAAAGCAGTTTTCCAGAACTGGAAAAAGTCTGGAAAATAGAGATAAAGTCTGGAACAACGGTAAAAAGTCAGGAGTTTTTTAAAGCTACATGTACAACAAGTGCTTAATAAGTGAATGTTTTCCCTGTGGTCAAATCCTATTCAATTTCGCCCGTAGCCAAGACATTTAATCACAGAATGAGAAGTTTCATAACTCTCTTACGTCCGCGTTGCTAAGTTTAGGAAGGAGACCGCGACTGCCAGGACAATAGGCATATCTCTGTTACTGAGGGTATGCGACGTTAACTGCCACCAGGGGAGGTGAGAGGGGTGAAACTTCGAAGTCATTTCCGCTAACTCCGTTGAACTGGCCAAGCCGCCGGCGGGAAAAAACCGTGCAATTCTAAGTGAGAGCCACGATGCCATGTCACAAACGCACAGGCTCGACTGGACAGCATTTAAACGAGTTTCTTATTTCCCGCGTCACGGGTTAACTGTGTATGCATTGAGAACAGTGACAGCATGGTCTCTAATATTGCAGCTTTTTATTAATTTCAACTTCTTATTTTCACTAAAAAGATAGCCAAACACACTTGCCCTTTTTGTTTGAAATTGATGGTTTGTATATTTTGTAGATAATGAAACTTGAAGTAGAAAAGGTTGCAGCACAACGCTCATTCCTCTTTCTTTGGTGTGGCTCCCACGAAGGACTGAATGAAGGCAGAAAGGTAAAACAACTGAACTTTCGCTCGAAATATCAACTTTTCAATCCCCCAATCAACTTTATCAACTCAGTTATAATATATTGATTTTGCCAAGGCTAAGGGCGAAGCTCCCGTTGGTGAATTTTTATAATTTCCTTCAAACAATAAACATGTAACTATTACAGAGAAATCCTATTAGAGTTGAGCCTGCGATGAGTTGAAAACAAGTTACTTGTCAGGGGATAACTTAAAAAAAGCGTAACCGCGATGGGTCAACACCTCAGCCAGCGAGACTGGTTTTTGATACTGGTCAGCGAATACCTTGTTTTGACAGCTGTCAACTGACCACAACATGGATGTGCAATATTACGTCGCAAGCTCCTACACTAGCGAGAAAATCTGACATTTCACTTCGTTTCGCTGTGTTGCTGGCCGAAGGGCTTACAGTCACGTGACTACCAAAATTTCTCGGATGGATAGGTAACCACTCTTGCTCTAACATGGGGGCAATGGAAATATTAATGGGCTTTTACTTAAAGGGAACCTCCACTTCAGCAAAAAGATAACTTTAAATCACAGGAAAGAACTGTTACAGTCAAGTCAATCTAAAATATTTTTAAAGAAAGCGTTTGTATCCGAAAGAAATAACTTTTAGATTCGCCTATTTTTGTTTTCAAATTTTGCGGGCGTCGCCATCTTGAATAATTGTGAAGTGTTACGGTTGCCCCATTGTTATTAAACAAAAGCTCTTTGTGTCAGAACAATAGAGCAATCGTAACACGACACAATTATTCAAGATGGCGGCGCCCGCGAAATTTGAAAGTGAAAATAAGCGATTTTAAAATTCACTTTTCCTGATATAAACACTTTTTTTAAGGACAAATTTCGAACAAATTTGTTTATCAACATAATTTTATTCGATTTAAACTTATTCTGTAGTAAGAGTGGAGGTTCCCTTTAAAAAGCAGTTATGTCACAATCTTGGATTGAATTTACTCCCTGCTCTGGGTTAATGTTAACCGGCTTTCGAAGAACGGGGCTCTTCCATGACGAGCGCCCGAAAGCCGCCATACCGAAGAATTCCTTCGTCAGGCATTGTGTTATTTTATTGTTTTAGCAGTAATCGCCCTCTCACTCTGCTTGAAACCCTCCAAGAGTAAGAAAGATTCCTTTATGCCTCTACACTAAAGCAAAGAAAGTGCTTCCCACAAGTTATTTTTCTTCTTCTCAACTAGTGCTTAAGAAAGTGGGGATTCCGTCGTTGCGAGGACATTTGCTGGATCAAAACAAACAAAACCAATCCTGGAAACACCAAATACCTTGAACCTGATGCTATATTTCAACACACTAAGGAGCACTGTCTGATGGGAATCAAAGGAACCGTCAGAAGAAGCACTGACGGAGACTTCATCCACGCTAACGTTGATATTGACCTTGTTATCACAGAAGAGGTAAATTGTGCAGTTCACTAGTTCTTATTGCTCGGTCGCTAATTACTAAAGATAATTGTAGAGTTCCTTAAAGGGACTATATCATGCTGTATGCTATCTTTTTAAAAAGCTAATTCGTGTTTTGCATTGATTGAATTCTAAAAATAATGGTCCGGTTTTGTTATTTAAGAATCTGCTTCTTGTCGCCTGTTGCAAGGGATAGCAAGGATGGACATGGATTGAAAATTGAAAAAGTTAGGCCAACTTTTTCAAGTTTTAATGCCATACCTGCCAGTTGCACTAAGAGGTCACGTGACCAATGCTTCCTTTAAACGATGAGTTGGAATCTTGGTGATGCCAAAAATTGACAGAGCACATAAAAATTATCTTAAACCCGAAATTTGAGAGGAAACGCATTTAAGGGAGATATTTAATGGCACTTTGATTTTTCAACAAAAGCAGTATGATTTGTATTGGCCGCCATGTTGGAAGGCATACTCTTGCCCTCCAACATGGCGGCCAAAACTACTTTTTGCTTATATCTTGTTAAACGTTTGATAGTTACGCTCAGATGTGCTGTAAACGTTACCACATCATCTTTTCAACATTTCCCTTGAACTTTAAGTGCAAAATTTGTGTTCAGAAAGATGTAATTCCTAATTTTAAAAATCACATTTTGGTCACGTGACCAGCTACGGAACTTACTCATTTTAAGAAAATGGTGCAGGTTTGACAAACCAAATCACTATTATTTTGTTTAAGATATGACCCACTAATCGTTTTTGGAAGGCAAAATCATATAACTTTCATTTTCATAAAAACGATGTCACATGACCTCTTAGTGCAAATGGCGGTTAGCACTCCCCGATAAGATTTGTTTGATTTTTTTTTGTATAATTTTACAGGAATATTTTGGGTTTGTGGGTAAAAGAACTAAGTCATGTCTTTAACTCAGAATTGACTTAGAACAGGAATATGCTAGTGACATAGCTCCTTTAAGTTAGATTTAATATATTTATTCGAATGCGCGTTGCCACATGGCAGTGAAGTATTCACCAGTCAGGTGTAAATCTGCTTTCTTTACGTTCAAGCTTCATCGCGATTATTTAATCATCTTGGTCGTCTCGAGCGCCTCGATTTTTTGGGACAATCGAGGCCATGCGGACGATTATGGAGAAACCGGACCGTATAAAAATTCAATCTAGGGGATGGTCATAATACTCCCAATACCCCGCCTACCCAGGCGTTTCTTGGGATTTTCGGAAAAGTAGCGGCGCCAGTGGTCATAGGAATTTTTTTGGTGTAAAGCGAGTAGGACCATGGGAAAGCTTCAAAAGCGCAAAGGCACATGGGAAGGCTCAACATGAACAGCGAAACATCGCTTCCCGTATATCGTCCTTCACATAACCATGTGCACCGCGACTAGTGCCGAAAATTCCAGCATTGCATGTAAGATGTTGTAAGACACCGCCGTCGTCGTTCCTCAATCGTCTCCTTTTAAGACTGTTTTCGATATGATCACTAAGATCTTAGGCCAGCGTTCTAAAAGATAGAAGCGATCATATAAAAGCTAGCCTGTTGGGCCCTTTGTATTAATCCTGACCGCGAAAAGGATCGCGCCAAGTAAGTTTTGCCAGGGTAATTCCGGTCCATTTGATCATGTTTTGTATCATAAAGGGAAATGTCAGCTACTATGGGTCAGCCAATGGGTCGAGGAACTTAAAAAGAGCTGTTATCGAGCGTCTGAATCTTACCGTAACTGTAATGGTACTTGAGACTGTTTATGTTAAAACAGCCTGCCGAGAGGCCCTCTTAGCAACGATTTGTGAACTGTGCTTCTTGATTTATTAAGGCAATGTGTAATAATGTGTAGTTCTAGAAAATATTCATACCCCTACCCCCCACGGAGGTCACTTTTGCTTTAGACCCCTCACCCCCTGGAGAGCTTGTCATATCCCCCCACCCGCTAGAATTTGCGTAATTTTTCAACTTGGTTGGGTTCCTCCTGGAAAGAATATTGCACTAAATAATGTTTTTGCACTATATTATGTGAAAGATAATTTTTCCCTCCCTCGGAATATCCATTGCTCTCCGTGGGGGGGAGGGGCTAGGATATTTTCTCGAACTACAAAATACAGTAAATACTCATGACGATTACGTTGATCTGTTACCGATTTATAGCCACCTCTTGGGAGTACAGAAAAACCGACTGAAATATTCCATATAATGGAGCACTTCTGCCTAGGGCGGCGCCGGCTTCATTTGTTTGGTAGCGATGACACTTTAAGACCAGGTAATGTTTATCAGGTATTGTTATAATTTTTTCTTTGAATTTGTTGAAAATAGTATAACTATGTTCGAGCAAAATATACAAATAATTCAGTACTAGAATAAAATCGATGTGTCAGAGAGGAGAACAAAGGGTCACATCTGCGTAACTAGGCATTAGTATAACGAAAGAAAGAGCACTATAACTTTATACTAACTTATAATTAATATCAATTAAATTGAAAGTAGAATATCGTAAATCCTCCATAAAGCCTCCTCACCCAAATAGGCCCCCTCTCTAATGAGTCCCGCTTTTCCGAGGAAGAAAGTAAATGATCCTCCCTCTCTTTTAAGCCATCCCCCATCACCTCCCACCCTTATTATTTTTAACTAATAAAGGAGACTGTATTATTCGATCATGACTAAAACTTCATTTAGACTGACCCGGGATGGTTTATTTACGTGTTGAAAGTTCGGATTTGTTTCTGATCCTCGGCTGCATGACCTCCACCTTCTTGTACTTGAGCTTTTCCACTTCGTATTCTAGTTCTGTACGGAGAACTAATACCACCATGTTCGCAAATTAACTAAGCTCCCTCCCCTCTGAAAATAAAATAAATAAATAAATAAATAACGATTTGCAGGTAGCACATCCACATAGTGGTTCTTCGTCTACCTGATTCCTGGTCGAATTGGAATTTGGAAATGTTGGTTTTTGAGGAGAGGGGAAAACCGGAGTACCCGGAGAAAAACCTCTCGGAGCAAAGGAGAGAACCGACAACAAACTCAACCCACATATGGCATCGACGCCGGGATTTGAACCCGGGCCACATTGGTGGGAGGCGAGTGCTCCCACCAGTGCGCCACCCTTGCTCCCCTTCTCTATTGAGCACCTCCCCAGTTCGAAATAAATAAGCCCCCGGGGAGTTAAAAGAGGATTTACGATAGAAAAAAAAAGCTATATTTAGAGCGGACTAAACGTTGAACCAATAACCACAGATAAGTGAAACATGACGAAAAGTTTTCCTAACAGTAAGACTGACAAACCTTTAATTTCCGACCTCGCCGACACAATTTCCAGTTCGCTGAAAATCATATTCTACCTTTTAATTTTTGTTTTTGTTTTGTCTTTTTTAAGGCTGGCTGTCGGTAGGACCAAGTCTAACAAGTCGAAATTTCTCCGCCGACCTGTACAACTCCTACTTTTCCAGCGGACCTGAAGACCTTCTTGTCGGCTGCACACAAGAAATTGAGACTCTCAGACCTAAATCGCCTACGGGGAAACATAAAGGAGACGGAGGGGGGCGCGGAGGGGGAAATGCCCCGAATCGTGGGGGACCAGGTGCCAGGGCTCGGGGAGGGGTCCGTGGGGGAATGATGCGGGGTGTAGGTTTTCAAGGGAGTGGAGGAAGAGGTTTTGTGAGCTTTTCTGTTAGGTAATAAATCAACAACTGGAACAACTGTGTGAATAACGAATGCATGGGGTAACATTGAAGTACTAAAAACCGTGCAATCATAGACTGCGAGCAGTCTACAAAGGGGGACTATTAAACCCCGTTTGTCTGCAAGGAGGGGCTATTTATCCCCGTTTTGCTAGAAGAAGAAAAGTGAAATAATGTATTTTCAGTTACTCTGACCTAAACTCTTTTCCCTTTAATATTTTGTATTCTACGGTGTAGTTCGTTTTATGTTGAATATGATGGACAAGTTAATCTGAAGATTTTGCGTAACATTGCTGAAAGTATTGGCGGGTAAAAATAAAAACAACATCGAACTACGTTTTGGTGTCGTGATGACTTCATTTTTAAGTTCTGGCAGAATAAACTGTCAAACTGAAAGCAGACAAATTTCGAGAATTTCAAGACTGATCTTGGGTGATGAACGGTCTAGAAATATGATGACACCTACGTTTTCCCTTAACGGTTGTATCGTTATCTTTTAAGGTGGCTCGACCCAGTTTTTTTGTAGGTACACTTTCCATCTTTGAATCTCTTATACTTAAACAAATTGATCTTTATTGTAAAAACATTATAACACTTGTATTACACTTAGAGGGAACGAAACGCGGGCACGCGTGAAAATCACCCAACGCAAGAAAAGGCGACACGCGGCGCTCTACTACATGAACGCCTGGAACAGGCTAGTTCCATATTAAACAGACTGCATGAAAAGATAACGAGTGTTCTCGTGTTGAAAAAAATATTTCACTCGCTTGCGCTGCCTCGAATAGCTTTAGCTAAATGCAGGCAGTGTGTATGTTTAGTGTACTTCTTTGCTCTTTAATAAAATTGTTGTTGTTGTTGTTTTATACAACAACAACAACAACTTTATTTACTTTATCTTGGACATGAAGATTTCAGTACCAAAACAATCATAAATGAAAAAAGCAAAATAAAAGTTAAGTAAGAAAGAAAGGGACAATTGAATATCATCATGAAAGAACTTTACTGGGCTATGTACGGCTTCTACGCTACTCGTATGGTAAGAAAGTTTTAATTAGAGTTCCGATGCAAAACAATTGAGAATATTTTCAATATAAGAGGCACTGAGATCTTGTTAAACGTTTGATAGTTACGCTCAGATGTGCTGTAAACGTTACCACATCATCTTTTCAACATTTCCCTTGAACTTTAAGTGCAAAATTTGTGTTCAGAAAGATGTAATTCCTAATTTTAAAAATCACATTTTGGTCACGTGACCAGCTACGGAACTTACTCATTTTAAGAAAATGGTGCAGGTTTGACAAACCAAATCACTATTATTTTGTTTAAGATATGACCCACTAATCGTTTTTGGAAGGCAAAATCATATAACTTTCATTTTCATAAAAACGATGTCACATGACCTCTTAGTGCAAATGGCGGTTAGCACTCCCCGATAAGATTTGTTTGATTTTTTTTTGTATAATTTTACAGGAATATTTTGGGTTTGTGGGTAAAAGAACTAAGTCATGTCTTTAACTCAGAATTGACTTAGAACAGGAATATGCTAGTGACATAGCTCCTTTAAGTTAGATTTAATATATTTATTCGAATGCGCGTTGCCACATGGCAGTGAAGTATTCACCAGTCAGGTGTAAATCTGCTTTCTTTACGTTCAAGCTTCATCGCGATTATTTAATCATCTTGGTCGTCTCGAGCGCCTCGATTTTTTGGGACAATCGAGGCCATGCGGACGATTATGGAGAAACCGGACCGTATAAAAATTCAATCTAGGGGATGGTCATAATACTCCCAATACCCCGCCTACCCAGGCGTTTCTTGGGATTTTCGGAAAAGTAGCGGCGCCAGTGGTCATAGGAATTTTTTTGGTGTAAAGCGAGTAGGACCATGGGAAAGCTTCAAAAGCGCAAAGGCACATGGGAAGGCTCAACATGAACAGCGAAACATCGCTTCCCGTATATCGTCCTTCACATAACCATGTGCACCGCGACTAGTGCCGAAAATTCCAGCATTGCATGTAAGATGTTGTAAGACACCGCCGTCGTCGTTCCTCAATCGTCTCCTTTTAAGACTGTTTTCGATATGATCACTAAGATCTTAGGCCAGCGTTCTAAAAGATAGAAGCGATCATATAAAAGCTAGCCTGTTGGGCCCTTTGTATTAATCCTGACCGCGAAAAGGATCGCGCCAAGTAAGTTTTGCCAGGGTAATTCCGGTCCATTTGATCATGTTTTGTATCATAAAGGGAAATGTCAGCTACTATGGGTCAGCCAATGGGTCGAGGAACTTAAAAAGAGCTGTTATCGAGCGTCTGAATCTTACCGTAACTGTAATGGTACTTGAGACTGTTTATGTTAAAACAGCCTGCCGAGAGGCCCTCTTAGCAACGATTTGTGAACTGTGCTTCTTGATTTATTAAGGCAATGTGTAATAATGTGTAGTTCTAGAAAATATTCATACCCCTACCCCCCACGGAGGTCACTTTTGCTTTAGACCCCTCACCCCCTGGAGAGCTTGTCATATCCCCCCACCCGCTAGAATTTGCGTAATTTTTCAACTTGGTTGGGTTCCTCCTGGAAAGAATATTGCACTAAATAATGTTTTTGCACTATATTATGTGAAAGATAATTTTTCCCTCCCTCGGAATATCCATTGCTCTCCGTGGGGGGGAGGGGCTAGGATATTTTCTCGAACTACAAAATACAGTAAATACTCATGACGATTACGTTGATCTGTTACCGATTTATAGCCACCTCTTGGGAGTACAGAAAAACCGACTGAAATATTCCATATAATGGAGCACTTCTGCCTAGGGCGGCGCCGGCTTCATTTGTTTGGTAGCGATGACACTTTAAGACCAGGTAATGTTTATCAGGTATTGTTATAATTTTTTCTTTGAATTTGTTGAAAATAGTATAACTATGTTCGAGCAAAATATACAAATAATTCAGTACTAGAATAAAATCGATGTGTCAGAGAGGAGAACAAAGGGTCACATCTGCGTAACTAGGCATTAGTATAACGAAAGAAAGAGCACTATAACTTTATACTAACTTATAATTAATATCAATTAAATTGAAAGTAGAATATCGTAAATCCTCCATAAAGCCTCCTCACCCAAATAGGCCCCCTCTCTAATGAGTCCCGCTTTTCCGAGGAAGAAAGTAAATGATCCTCCCTCTCTTTTAAGCCATCCCCCATCACCTCCCACCCTTATTATTTTTAACTAATAAAGGAGACTGTATTATTCGATCATGACTAAAACTTCATTTAGACTGACCCGGGATGGTTTATTTACGTGTTGAAAGTTCGGATTTGTTTCTGATCCTCGGCTGCATGACCTCCACCTTCTTGTACTTGAGCTTTTCCACTTCGTATTCTAGTTCTGTACGGAGAACTAATACCACCATGTTCGCAAATTAACTAAGCTCCCTCCCCTCTGAAAATAAAATAAATAAATAAATAAATAACGATTTGCAGGTAGCACATCCACATAGTGGTTCTTCGTCTACCTGATTCCTGGTCGAATTGGAATTTGGAAATGTTGGTTTTTGAGGAGAGGGGAAAACCGGAGTACCCGGAGAAAAACCTCTCGGAGCAAAGGAGAGAACCGACAACAAACTCAACCCACATATGGCATCGACGCCGGGATTTGAACCCGGGCCACATTGGTGGGAGGCGAGTGCTCCCACCAGTGCGCCACCCTTGCTCCCCTTCTCTATTGAGCACCTCCCCAGTTCGAAATAAATAAGCCCCCGGGGAGTTAAAAGAGGATTTACGATAGAAAAAAAAAGCTATATTTAGAGCGGACTAAACGTTGAACCAATAACCACAGATAAGTGAAACATGACGAAAAGTTTTCCTAACAGTAAGACTGACAAACCTTTAATTTCCGACCTCGCCGACACAATTTCCAGTTCGCTGAAAATCATATTCTACCTTTTAATTTTTGTTTTTGTTTTGTCTTTTTTAAGGCTGGCTGTCGGTAGGACCAAGTCTAACAAGTCGAAATTTCTCCGCCGACCTGTACAACTCCTACTTTTCCAGCGGACCTGAAGACCTTCTTGTCGGCTGCACACAAGAAATTGAGACTCTCAGACCTAAATCGCCTACGGGGAAACATAAAGGAGACGGAGGGGGGCGCGGAGGGGGAAATGCCCCGAATCGTGGGGGACCAGGTGCCAGGGCTCGGGGAGGGGTCCGTGGGGGAATGATGCGGGGTGTAGGTTTTCAAGGGAGTGGAGGAAGAGGTTTTGTGAGCTTTTCTGTTAGGTAATAAATCAACAACTGGAACAACTGTGTGAATAACGAATGCATGGGGTAACATTGAAGTACTAAAAACCGTGCAATCATAGACTGCGAGCAGTCTACAAAGGGGGACTATTAAACCCCGTTTGTCTGCAAGGAGGGGCTATTTATCCCCGTTTTGCTAGAAGAAGAAAAGTGAAATAATGTATTTTCAGTTACTCTGACCTAAACTCTTTTCCCTTTAATATTTTGTATTCTACGGTGTAGTTCGTTTTATGTTGAATATGATGGACAAGTTAATCTGAAGATTTTGCGTAACATTGCTGAAAGTATTGGCGGGTAAAAATAAAAACAACATCGAACTACGTTTTGGTGTCGTGATGACTTCATTTTTAAGTTCTGGCAGAATAAACTGTCAAACTGAAAGCAGACAAATTTCGGGAATTTCAAGACTGATCTTGGGTGATGAACGGTCTAGAAATATGATGACACCTACGTTTTCCCTTAACGGTTGTATCGTTATCTTTTAAGGTGGCTCGACCCAGTTTTTTTGTAGGTACACTTTCCATCTTTGAATCTCTTATACTTAAACAAATTGATCTTTATTGTAAAAACATTATAACACTTGTATTACACTTAGAGGGAACGAAACGCGGGCACGCGTGAAAATCACCCAACGCAAGAAAAGGCGACACGCGGCGCTCTACTACATGAACGCCTGGAACAGGCTAGTTCCATATTAAACAGACT